TTGGTGAGCTTTATCATATAGAGTGTCCTTCAGCATCTTCCCAAGGACCAGAACGGGAAGCCCAAACTCCTTAGGATAAGGGGTATCAAAAAAGTTCATGAAAAACCTCCACTAGCTTTCCATTTTCCCACAACATTTCCACGCCCCCTTGTATATCATAGACGGTGATCTCTGGCCAGTGCTCCAGGTGAGATACCCATGATGTGTTAATCATTGCATCTCTTTCCTAAATCTCCTCTGCCTACTTAACAATATGCCCTGTGGCCAATTGATTTTACCATATTCATTTCTTATCCTTTCCCTCACAACCAGCACTAACAAATTTAGTGAATACATTTTGAAAGAGAAATACATAAAGAGCTATAAACAAACCATTGACCAGTCTTCTTATATCAATGTGAATAACAAACATGACTTTAAACCTGTCACCAGAGAGAAGGGGACAATTTTGATTGGATCTTGGAAATATCCACCACTAGTATAATCACCAAGAAAAGGATGATGGATAATTACATATAGTATATGGATTGCCTGTGTCTTTCTATTCCAGAATTCTAGTTCTGTCACTTAGAAAGACAGTGGTATTGGACAATTTAGTTACTCTAGGATAACTCAGTTCTTTCCAGAGAGAATGGAAACAAGTGTCCCTCCGCTGAAGGTGAGAACTAGTACATGAGACACAATATTGAATCTGGAGTCTAGCACCCGGTGCCGTGATACTGTGAGGTAATTCAGCCTCAGAGTGGAGATTGTTTTCAGCCCGTGCAGATCAAACTAGAAAGAACAGTGTCTCCTCCTCTGTTCCTAAGGCATAAGTCCCACTCGGATTTATTTTGCTTCATGTCCTCCACTCCCTCCCCTGGCTCAGATACAAAAACCACCACACCTTAACCATTAGTTTCCCTTTCCTAAGCCTAGGGTTTTGTTTTGTTTTCTTTTCTTTTCCAATTATCCCCAGGATCAAAGAAGAAAAGAGTAGTAAAGAAATAGGCGTGTAACTTGACAGGCTGTGGTTTCAAATAAGGAAGAACTTCTCGAGGGCGACACTGATTCAACCATGAAACCGGCTCAAAGGGATTTCCTTGGTCAAATGTCAAGAAAGGAGAATTCCAGCCTGGGAAAGATGATATGACTTCCTGCTGGGACGCTGAGCCCTCGAGTGAACTTCACCTTGAACAAAACACTCCGTCTGCTGGAGGCAGTGACGATGCTCTGACCACCACCACACAGGAGACAATGAAATGAGAATCAAGACGCCATCGGAAACAGGCAGGGAGCACTCTTTCACAGCCTCCTTCTGACCATGGACATAGAGTGAAGGCAATGCTAGGCATCAGAGAAACCAATGGGCTAACCATGCTTTTTGATAGACCCAAAAGCAGACTCATCACTGTTGGGTCAATTCTGACAAACAGCAACCCTACAGCACAGGCATTGACTTTAAAAGGGCTCACTTGGACTTGGGAGAGTCAGCCATTTGGTTTTGTCACCACAGTCATTCATTTAACAATTATCGCACACTTACTTTGTGCCATATGTTTTGGCAGGAAGGGTGAGTAAATGGACAAGAGACAGGTGTAGCCCTTGCCTGTTCTCACAAAGCCGGCGATCTGGCAGAGAAGAAAGATACTAAAACCAAAGTTAAAAACCAAATTGTCAAAAAGGTAATTGACAACGAGTAAGGCTCTAAGTAGATCCGAATTCTTGTTCTTATGAGACTAAGCCATCCCCCTTCCATGTGGTCAGACCGACACAGGGATGGAAATTTATCATCCTGACATGGAGGCACATCAGTCATCAGGCATCATCAGGCGATGTGCTTAATGCGACAGCATCTGAAAGACTAAACTCGAGGACTAGGGCATCCTTCAAACATCTACATTTACGATGATTCATTTCTTTTGAAACTCGGCCAAACTGTCCCTTTCTGAAAGGCTTAACTCAAACACGCTGCCCTGGAGTTGACGCCCACTCATGATAAGCCCGTGTCTGTCAAGAGCAGAAGTGTGCTGGAGGGAGTTTTCAGTGGTTGATATTTTAGATGACACCCATCAGGCTCTTCTTTGCAAGCACTTCTAATTGGGACTTGAACCTATGTCCTTTTTGTTATCAGCCAAGCACTTAACCGTGTGCACCTATCAAGGGCGCCATTTATGTAATGGGTGCTTCCTATAGAATAATTCTGGGAGACACACGAGGCTGTGTGATCCCAGAAAGGTTAAGGCCTTGAAACCTTATATAGGTGCTGTCAGAATAGACTCGCTGGCTAGGGGCTTAGGTTATGATCTTTCTTGCCTCACACAATTTATTCACATATCACACTGACTGCTGTTTCCCAGGTTCTAAAACTTCTTTCAGCACGCATATATAGCAATCCTGTCATTTATTCCAGAAGTAATTAATCACATTCAATCTTTGTGGCATCCACTAGTTTTCATCTCAGGGGGCACCAACATTTCTGTTGTGTTTAGAGTTTACAGTCCAAGTGAGTGACAAGGGCATTGAGGGCAACTGTGCACTCAAACCATTGCCCCATAAACATTTAAAGTAATTATCTCATTTAATCTTCAAAACAACCGACAAGGAGCAAAAGTTCATTTGACATGAATCATTAAGTATTGGACAGCAGACTATGCGAGGCATTATGCAAAGGTCAAAATTAAACAAGAACTTGGCAGGTTCACAGTTCAGTAGTCCCTTGCTGCTGCTGGTTCTGTGGACTGTAAGCAGCACTGGATGCAAAAATTTTTTTAAAAAGCACATTCATATGAAAGTGTTAACCAGCTTTCAGATGACTAAATAAATAAATATATATATACACACATGCATACATGTGTATATATATTTAGATTTGAGTTACCATAGAAGTAAAAATATCTGTTATTTAATTTAAAAAAAACAGCATCCATGATAAATCAAGTGTGTGTCAGCCATACCATGGACAACTGTATTTAACTCAATATGTTCTTATGGTTTTTATTGATAATTAGCCACATTGAGCAACTTGGTACTTTTATTTTTTTTATTTTATTTTATTGGGGGCTCGTACAACTGATCACAATCCATGCATCCATCCATTGTGTCAAGCACATGTGCACATTTGTTGCCATCATCACTCTCAAAACATTTGCTTTCTACTTGAGCTCTTGGCATCAGCTCCTCATTTTTCCCCTCCTTCCCCACCCCCACTCCCTCATGAACCCTTGATAATTTATCAATTATGTTGTCATGTCTTACACTGTCCAATGTCTCCCTTCACCCACTTTTCTGTTGCCCGTCCCCCAGGGAGGAGGTTATATGTAGATCCTTGTAATCGGTTCCCCCTTTCTACCCCTCCCTCCCTCCACCCTCCCAGTATCACCACTCTCACCACTGGTCCTGAAGAGATCACCCACCCTGGATTCTCTGTGTTTCCAGTTCCTATCTGTACCAGTGTACATCCTCTGGGCTAGCCAGATTGGGCAACATGGTACTTTTACTAAACTTCTTTGGATGGATAAGCTACTCTTGCATGTAGATGTGGCCAGGCATGTAGTGGGGGTGTTATCTAGTTGGAACTGGAGCAATGACCCAAGTCCTAGTCCTCCTCCTCACAGATCTACAAGAGGATCTGTATAACCAGAAACGGTTGCTACATGCATCACTCTAACCCACGTACATGAGAGGCATTCCAGTGACTAGTGTTAATGTCATTCCCAGAATTTCAGAGATGACATACAACCCCGGGTTACAGACACTAAACTGCTTGACTAATTGTAGCAAGAGAAGCATGGGGGCTTTTTTGTTGTGTTTTCAAGGTGAAAGATGAAATAAAAGATTTTAAAAGATCATCAAACATCCACTGGACTATTGCAAACAAACAAAAACCGACTGCCTTCGAGTCTAGTCTGACTCACGGCAACCCCGCCGGACAGGGTACAACTGTCCTGTGGCTTTCCGAGACTCGAACTCCTTATGGGAATGGAAAGCCTTGCCTTTCTCCCAACTGGACCAGTCTCTAGACAATGTAAGATTCAATAGGATAATAATTTGAACATTGGGTAGACATATAAAATAGGCACCCCACTTTAAGTCAAGAGAGAAGCTCTGTCTCTTTCATCACTGATACTATCTCTGGAGACCAGCACAGGACGTGGAATTTCTTAGCTGTTTATTGCCTGTTTGCTAAAGAAATAAACTACCAAACAAACATAAATAAAAATATGTTCCTTTTGAGTACTACAAAAAAGGTTTTTTTTCACTCAGGTAAAATCATACTAAAGACAAACATTGAAAATTATTATTTAGGTCGATATAAATAATAACATCTTGCCCTTCATTTGGAAACAAGAATAACTTCCTAAGCACATCCAGAAAAAAACGATAAAAAAATTTGTTTTCATTGAAGTAGCTGTGGCTTTCACAGAATGCTATCATTCCAATATCCTAGTTAGCACTAAACCTATATAATACTTCCATATCCTTACAAACAGTACACTGAGTTATATAATATAAAAATAGCTTATTTAAAAATAAATTAATAAAATAGCTATATAACTATATGGAAACAAATTATATAAAAACACTTTTATCTGTAGAACTATAATACAGAGACTGCAAGGCCACAGGTCAACAATTCAAATTGCAAGGAAACCTTTTAAAAGAGAAATGAATTTGATTATCCAGGAAATTTCAGTATTATATAACTAAGCTCTTTAATGATATCTTTCGCATCATGGATATTGCACCACTGAGATCTTTGCAAGAGGGCTTCAAAAAGTTCATGGCAAAAATCGAATGAAAAGTAATGGAATCTTTCAAATAAAGTTTCCAAAGCCCCTTGTACTTCCCTATAGTCAATTCTATTATCGACAGGAAGGCAGACATGCTATCATCACAGACATTTGCTATAGAGATGCCACAACCGCTTCTGCTTCCTGCACACATGTGGTGATCGTCCACTACGCTAAACGAATACGCTGGGACGCTGTAAAGTACGCTGTAGTCACGGCAAGACTTACCCAGCACGATGACAACCGTCTTCAGAAGACTCATCATGGTGTCCCGATTCCGCCGGGGGCCGGAGCTATGCCTCGACATTCTCAGAGTCCTCTGGCGAACGTAGCCAAAGATATGCGCGTACAGAATCACCATGACCACAAAGGTCACCAGGTTGAAAATGGCCCAGAAGACTAAATACGAGTCACTGTAGAGCGGTGCCATGTTGGAACAATGTTCAATATCACAGATACAGTTCCAGCCTACGCTGGGGATAGCACCCATGACAATGGCCATAGTCCAAATGACCAGGATCACCACCACCACCCGCCTGTTGCTCATCCGGGTGTGGAGCTGCATGCGGAAAACCGTAATGTGCCTCTCGATGGCTATCGCCAGTAAGTTGGCCACCGATGCTGTCAGACTGGTGTCGATGAGGCCCTGGCGAAGGAGCCATGTGCTGACGGTCAATCTCCGAGTATTGGGTCCTGTGTTGAACATTAGGTAGAAGTAGGCCAAACCGGCAAAGAAGTCTGCGGCCGCCAGATTGGCCATTAAGTAATAAATAGGAAAATGGAAGCGGCGGTTGACGTATATCGCCACCATGACCAGGAGGTTGGCCAACATGATGAAGATACAGACAGTGATTCCAAGTCCCATCACCAGCTTGCTGACTGTGTTCCATTCTGTGGCAAGATACTTTCCACTCCGGTTATAAAAGAACGCAATAGACTCGTTGTAGAAGCACTGGGGTTCATTCATGGCTGGGAACTAAAAGAGAAAGGAGGGGAAAGGATGAAAATGCAGGAAAACAAATAGACTCCCCCACTCCACCCCACCCCCAAACCAACCTAAAAGAAACCACAGATCTGAATTTAGACAGACAGCTACAATAAATACAGCCAAAAAATAAAAGAAAAAAAATGACTCCTTGATCCTGCATACCATTCTGTGATTACACTGAAATTCCAAAGCTTCTCAGAGGATGTGTTCTCGAGATTAAAGACAGTGGGGCCTAAAGAAATGACAAGGTCTTTGCTTCGTGGTTGCACTTCATTGACATCCACTAGAAAAGCCACATGACCCAGAAATCTTACTTAAAATACAGGAGATGCACAAAGACTTCGCTGAACATTGCAATTGGGATATTTGTCATTGTGAAATCTATTTTGACCTGTTATTTACGGGATCATAAACATGGTTGGTTTATAGATAGGGTATTATTGCCCTATTATTCTATATTTATATTTTCACATAATATGTTCAATCTGTGACACACAGTTATAACTGCAAGACCCCACAAGGACCGTCAGTGCCAACATTTCAAAGAAGTCACTAGGCAACAGAGGTGCCTTTTGCAAAGCCAGCATTTGCTGCTCAGCATTCCTGTGGTCAGTTCTGTCTACCCCCATGAGTCTTCATCCTTAGAATAGCCTTCCTCAACCCATCTATAACACTTGAAGACTTTCATGTTTCATTTCGGGAGGCACAAAAATGTGTTACCTAATGTAACTACCAAAGACTAGTGGACACTTGACACTGCTGCACAAGAAGTAAAATATATTTCTACTACATGAAGTATATCTTTCAATGTATAAACTTATAAATGTTTTATAATTGGCCTATGTCTTTTTCAACATCAATTACATTTATTTGCCTATTAGTTATTTCTCATTTGAACCCAAAAAAGGTTGAGGCACCATACAGTAGCATAATATAGGCTTTCAGTAAAGCTATGAAAACAAAATTACAAAATGAAAAATAATGAGAAACTAGAAAATTATACATCAAATAGTATAAATCACTCTTTACTTTGAAAGATTCTCTAAAATTTTTTCACTAGAAACTATTTCTTAGAATTCACATTCAACCTTTGTCTCTTACATTGCTTCGCATAAGTTACTTGGCACACATGGCCACATCGGCACATCATTTATCAAATAGTCCAGGGACAAATGCCTACAAAATCGTGAACATTTCCCAAACAGGATGAAATGCGTATTAACTGGTCATTCTTCGGACTCATTGAGAGCAGGCAAACTGTGGCCCCTGAGCCATATGCTGTTCTGTTGGTGCGGACACGTGGCTCTGAAGTCAAATTGAAAAAAATGAGAGGATGTGATTCCGATCACGGTGACTTCATTTGTTTGTAAACCTAGACTTGCAGCTCTTGAATGATTTTTTATTGTTGTGAGGAACAGGATCAGCTCTTCTGTCTCAGGAGAGATGGTGTTGTTTTCATCATCCAAAGGGATATTTCAAGATCTATCTTGAAGTTCAATGCTGTTTGTGATATAATCCTATCTATCTGTCTTCGAGAAAATCCAGTCAATATAACTAGTATTCAAATGTATGCATCAATCACAAAAGCTATTGATGAAGAAATTGAATTCTACCAATGTCATGAGACTGAAATTCATTAAACATGCAATTAATATGCATTCATTGGTCACCACTGGCACTGGACTGCAAACATTGGAAACCGAGAGAAAGGTACAACAGTTGGGAAACGGCTTGGTGACAGAACACAGCTGGAGATTGCTGACAGAATTTTGCAAGACCAACAACTTGTTTATCACAAACACCTTTTCCAATATCACAAATGGTGACTATATACATATATATAAAATATCAAAGAACAAACAAATCTGTCTAGGAAGAAGTATAGTCAGAATGTTCCTTAGGTGCAAGGATGGTGAGATTTTATCTCAAGTACTTTGGACTTGTCAGAAGAGACCAGTCCCCGGAGAGGGACATCCTGCTTGGTAAAGCAGAGGAGAGGGCCAGGGAAAAAGAGAATGGGCAAGATGGATGGGCCCAGTGGCTGCATCGAAGGACTCATATGTGAAGAACAATTGTGCGGATGATGGAGGACTAGGCATTGCTTCATTCTGTTGAACACAGGATGGCTACCGAGTTGGAGCTAACTCGATGGTACCTAACAATGACAAACTACACCTTCTGATTCTTCCAATTTTACATTGGTCACGCTAGGTTAAGGAGGGTCTTTCCTTGACCCTTCTACTTCTTCCCAGTGGATTTCCCTCCCCTCCCTTTCCTTTCTTTCACTGGTTTTCCCCCAGTTATTATTTTGTATGTTGTTCATAGTGACAATTTTTAAATTATCTACTGTTATCAACCTTTTGAGCCCTTTATTCCTCTTCCCATCAGCAGCTGGCCAAAAGATGAAAACAGAAACCATCAGATTGGAACCTTTACTTTTCTCCTAGCAGAAGACAAAATTAACTGTTCAAAAACCCACGCTGTCTTCCTCTTCCGTTTACATGGGTAAGATATGCCCTTTACCCTCTTAAGTGCTTTGAATGCTATTCCCTTCAACATTTCAAGAATCTGGGTTTACACATTGTTTCATGTATCCTTCTGTATCTTCTATTTCTCTCCCTCCTAACAGAATTTTTTCCACTAACTTTTTTAAACCCTCTCATAAACTTAAGAAAAAGTTAGGGGATTTTTCGCTATATTTAGGACAATAAAGCTGAATTGAAAGAGGAATTAAAAATCTTCTACCATCTGCAAAAGGCAGCAGATCTGAAGGATGAGTGGAAGAGGAGTGGGCAGAACCATGAACGGCAGCGAGAAGGCAGTTTGAATAGAATCTTTCCTTCTCCCGGATCCAATGGGCTTAGGCAGAAACTCATACCAAGCGTGGGAGAATCCAGTACAACCATTCTTGAATTATACACCAATAAAACAGTCATAGCTATAATGACAGTAAATAGAAAAAAATATCAGCATAGTAGGGAAAAAAGGGAATCCCAATGGGGATGATTGAGTATAAAACAGGGGTCCTCACACTTTTTAAACAGGGGTCAGTTCACTGTCCCTCAGACCGTTGGAGGGCCAGACTATAGTTAAAAAAAAAAAAACTATGAACAAATTCCTATGCACACTGGACGAGTCGGCTGCTAAGAAGGACAGGCAGCAGCGGCAAAAACACCGGGTGGGCCAGATAAATGTCCTCGGGCTGCATGCGACCCGCGGGCCCTAGTTTGAGGATGTCTGCTATAAAAGGTAGGAGAAAATGCTTCCCTCAGTAGTTGGCTTAAGAACAAAAAAGAGTGGGAAACAGATTAAATTACATTAAATTTCTGATTGTGTTTTGTTAGGGAGCTAGCTGTGAAAATAGATCAAGTCTTTATGAGAAAAAAAGCTGGAAAAAGACATATAGACATTATTGGTTGCCTGTTGCTTCTATAACAAATTCCTACAGTTTTAGTGACTTACAACTGTACTTTATTATTTTATAATCCTGGAGGTCATATAACCAACATGAATCTCACTGGGCTAAAATCTAGATATCCTAAGTTTCTAAAGGAGTCAACTTGCGTGACTTTTCCAGATTCTAAAGCTGTCCACATTCCTTGGCTCATATTCTTCTTTCTTCTTAAAAGCCAGTATGGTGGGAGGGGGAGCGGGGAGGGAGGGGGAAAAATGAGGAGCTGACACCAAGGGCTCAAGTGGAAAGCAGGTGTTGTGAGAAAGACGATGGCAACATATGTACTAATGTGCTGGACACAAATGATGTGTGTACGTATGGTGAAGAGTGGTATGAGCCCCTAATAAAATGATTATATATTTAAAAAAAAAAAAAAAGCCAGTATGGTCCTTTCTCAGATCCAGCTCCTCTGGAATTGGCTCCTTTGTCTGCATTTTCCGCATTCAAGGGACTCTGTGGTTACACTGGGCCCATCTCGATAAGCTACCTACTGGTCTTTGCACGGTTCATTAAAAATACGTTACTTCATCTTCTCCAGCCACCACCTTGTCTTGGAAGATGTGCAGCCAAAGTGCTCCTTAGAAGCAAGGATGGAAAGACTTTGGACATGTTGTCAGGGGAGACCCTGGAGCAGGGCATTCTGCTTGGTCAAGTAGTGAAAGGGGCAGTGAAAGGGAGGACGGCCCTCAAGGCGATGGATTGACAGTGGCTGAAACAATGGGTTCCAGCTTAGGAACACTTATTAGGATGGCGCAGGAATGGGCAGTGTTGGTTCTGTTGTGCATAGGGTTATTATGGGTTGGAACCAACTATATGGCACCTGAAACAACGACTGCCATCGTTTGAACTCTTCTATTGAGTTCTACATCATTTCTTCTGTTTGCTTGAGCTATGTTCTAGAGCAGCGGTTCTCAACCTGTCGGTGGCGACCCAGTTGGGGGTCAAACGACCCTTTCACTGAGGTTGCCTAATATAGCCTGCATATCAGATATTTGCATGACGCTTCATAACAGTAGCAAACTTACAGTTCTGAAGTAGCAACGAAAATAATTTTATGGTTTGGTTGGGGGGGTCACCCCAACATGAGGAACTGTATTAAAGGGTCACAGCATGAGGAAGGTGGAGAACCACTGTTCTAGAGCAAAGTCTCAGTGTCACTTTTGACTTCTATTTGAGTCTTTTCTTTCTTTCCCATCTTTTTAATGACCTTTTGTAGACAGACCAAAAGGCAGCAGTTCAAACAGAACAAGAGAATGTTATATGATTTAACATCAAGGAAGACGTAGGCCATGGATCTATCCATTCCCTAAACATATTCAATCCAGACACAGAGCAAATAATACAAGAAGCTGGACTATATGAAGACAAATGGCCGGCATGGAGAACAACCCAAACTGCAATATGCAGAGGACTTTGTTCGCTGACAGATAAGAGGACTCAATACACTTACTAGTGACCCAAGAGTACAGTCTGCAGTGTGGGTTACACTTCAATGTCATGAACATTGAAAACCTCACAACTGGACCAATATGCA